GCTAAAATCTTGACTCACTCCTTTGTTTCTTTATATTTCACTTTAATTCAACCAGACTTTATAGTTTCCAGATAGTTTTGATCAATAGTTCTCACTACCTGAGTGAAGCTGGTCGCCCCCACTGTCTTCAAATCTAACAAACATTTGTGTTGCAAAAAAGTTTTGTTTGTCCCGTTATAATTTTAAAGATATTAAAAAAAACTTTCCTGGGGTCATGAAAGGTCAATTATTCCCCTGTTCACGTTTATAAAATCAAACAAATCAACCCGGCTGCATTTGTGCTGCGTTTGTGCAGCAATTTTCTTTTGTTTGTGCTGCTTTTGTCGAAGATGTTAATGAAAGTTTAAAGGTCGAAAGGTCAGCCAACAGCACCACATCACCCAAATCTGACAAATAAAATTTGTAACAATTGGTGTCAATTGCCCTCCTACGTTTGTACTGCAAAAATTTCCTTTTGTGCTGCTATCGTTGTAAATATGGTAATAAAAAAGTTTCCAGAGGTGACCTGGAAACTTTTACAGAAGAAATCAAATTTGGTGTAAACAACTTAGCTAAGTTTGTGCAGCAGAAGCTTTTGTTTGTGCTGCTTTTGCTTTCACAATATTAATGAATGTTTAAAGGTGAAAAGGTCAACCAGCCCCGCCAGATTACCCATATCTAGCAAAATTGGTGTCTGACATTTTTGCTACAATTCTGCAGTTTTGTTTGTGCTGCTTTTGCTTACTGATGATGACCTCTGGAAACTTTTTTAAAATGATAAAATATTTTGCTGCACAAACATTTGGCAGCCATTTTGTTAGATTTGAAAGTGGCGGTGGAGCGAGCGTCACTCAGGTGTTCTGCTTCACTCCATTAAAAATGCCGAGGGGACTGAAATCGCCGTGGAAACCTGTCTCGAATTATTTCCAGTACGAGAACCAGACCCGGCTGGCTCTGGTGGGAAACTGGGGGACGACGGGCCTGACCTACCCGAAGTTCAGCGACGTCACGGGGAGAGTGAAGCTGCCCAAAGAGAGCTTCAGGCCCTCACCTGGATGGGCCTGGGCTGGAGACTGGTTCATCAGCCCCGAGAGGACGTGAGTCCACGACGACCGTCACACTGCAGAGCTTCAGGCTCAGTTCAAATTGTTTTTTTTTATTTTTGCATGGTTCTTCACACTACAAAGGTTATCATAGTCAACTAAAACTAACGAGATAACCCCAGAGTCAGTTTTTGTTCAGCAATAATTGAGTACATTTTTTTGAAAACAGCATCTTCTGTTGGGTTTTCATTACTCAACTGATGTAAACAGTCACATCACAACATTTTGACCTTTTTGAATTGTGCACCTAAAAATTAAACAAAGGATGAAAAACTAAAACTTCTACTACAACTAATAAAAGTAAACTAAAACAAAACAATATTGAACTAATAATAACTAATAAAACTAGCAAACACAATAACAACTAATTAAAACCAATTGAACTAGACAAATAAAACTAACTATAGTGTAAAAACCCAAAATTTCAGTTGAAAACCCCCAGTTCAGTAAAAATTAAACTGCAGTTTAGTTTTTATACTAAACTATGGTGAAAACCCAAAATACTTTGCCTTTTTCCAAAATATTTGGGTTTTTCAGCTCAAAACCCCCAAATAGTTTGGTTTTTCACTATAGTTTAGTTTTATTTGTCAGAAAAAACAAACTATTTTGGTCTTTTCCCCAAATAATTGGGTTTTTCACTAGTTTTATATGTCTAGTTCAATTGAAAAACCCAACTATTTTGGGTTTTTCCCAAAATAATTGTGGAAAACCCAAAATAGTTGGTTTTCAGGATAGTTTAGCTTAATTTGTCTAATTCTATTAAAAACCCAGTCATTTTGGATTTTTTCCAAAATAATTGGGTATTTCAGTTGAAAAACCCCAAATAATTTGGGTTTTCACCATAGTTTAGATTTATTTGTCTAGCTCAACTCAAACCTTTTTTAGTTTTTCCCAAAGTAGTTGGGAAAACTTTGGTCCAATGTAGTGCAAATTAAGTTAAAATATTTGAAATAAAACTTGTTTTTGTTTTTGGGCCTGATTTACCTTCCATAGACTTAATGTGAATATTATTACAGATAAATAGCCCTTTTGGGCAGATGATGCAGTCGTGTACCTTTGGTTTCCTGCCAGGCTGCTGTTTGATGTGGACGCCGGTCACATGACCTTCACAGAAGAGGTGTTTGAGAACCAGATGAGGTTACCAGGCGGACAGTGGATCGGCATGCCGGAGGGCTACACCGACGTGGTGCGTAGCTGGACGCGTTTCCCAACACGTCTCTGTTAGCAGAGACCAAACAATCTGCGTTCCTGTTCCAGAACGGGGAGAAAACGGTGCCGAAGGACGAGGTGGAGTGTCCTCCTGGGTGGGCATGGGACGAGGTGGAGTGGAGCGAAGATCTCAACAGAGCTGTTGATGATCAAGGTGCTGAGAAAGTAAAACATCCACCAACAAGCAGAGATAGAAGCTGATCTTTAGCTTTGATAATGGGTTTGTTTTTAATTTCAGGCTGGGAGTACGGCATCACCATTCCTCCGGACCGCCGACCAAAGTCTTGGGTTCCTGCAGAGAAGATGTACCACACCAACCGGAGGAGGCGATGGATCCGGATGAGACGGAGAGACCAGCAGAAGATGGAGGCTCTCAGGAAGGTGACTGGTTTCTAAATTATAAAGATAAACAGATTTAATCACCTCTAAATGACGTCATGTGACACTTTTCCATGATTTCAGCACGCTGTAGTTTTTATTAAGATCCTAAAATTCAATTTATTTCAAATTGGAAGTGGAGCTAGTACTTTTTAAAATAAATATTAAGAGAATATTAACTTAAAACAAGCTCCTATATCGTGCTGAAAAGTTACTCGTATGCTGATCTTGTCTTAGGAAATATTGAAATATTTGCAAGTGAAACTGAACCAAATTTTCTTAGAGGATTTTGTTCTTGTATCGAATATTATCTGGTGTATGGATAATTAACAACAAAAAATATATTAATTACATAATAACCTTGTTTTTAAATGTAAATGTAAATGTATTTGTAGTGTTATCTGGTGAATGGATAATTAACAAACATTAATTTATAAAATTCATTATGTAACCTTGTTTTTAAATATTTTTCTTTAATATATTTATTTAACTCTTGTAATATGTTGAATAAATCTGGCAAATGGATAAATAGGAAAAGAATTTGATGCATAATGTTAATTACGTAGTAATCTGTTTTAATATATTTATTTAACTAAATAGTTATTTTTATTTGCAGTGTTTTGTGGCAACAAGACAATCAACTAAAAAAATGTAATTTATTTGGCCTTTTTCTTGTTAATTCAAAATATTGATGATATAACAACCTTGTTTCTTTTAAAGTATTTTTTAATATGCTGAAGTCATAGTTTTAATAACTTCAGTTATTTGTAGTTTTATCTGGTGAATAGATTAACTAAAAATGAATTGATAATATTAGTAATTAACATATTTTTAAAAATTTAAAATATTTAATTAAATGTAATATGTTGAATAAAGAAAGGTACCAAAACGTATAAAAGTAATATAAAGTTAAAAAGTAATTGATTTAAATGAAAGTATGAATAAATAAATAAATAATTATCCGCTTTCTTTATCTGGTGCAGTTTGTGATTTTCTAGCTGTAATTCTCCCTTTTGACCACCAGATGGGGCTCTAGTTGCACAAATAATGAAAAATACAATGTAGAAGAAGCGTCACCTTTGCCCTTATTTCTGTTTTATCCCGTTTTTTCTGCGGAGAAAAACAAAGTTGAAGAAAATGTTGAGGAAAATCTGCTCCTTTCTTTTAACTTCCCACAGCAGCGACCGGATGATTCAGACAGGGAGGGCTGGGAATACGCCTCGCTGTTCGGCTGGAACTTCCACCTGAAGCCCAGGAAGACGGACAGCTTCAGGAGGCGCAGGTGGCGCTGCCGCATGGAGCCGCTGGAGAAGACCGGACCGGCCGCCATCTTTGCTCTGGAATGTTCTCTGGTGAGCAGCATTAGCTTCCCGAGCCCCGTTGAAAACACACAAAAAATGGTATAAAATAAGTACAGAAGCACTGAATTTTATATTTCCCCCTCACTTTTGTATGCTTTAAAATAATTATCAAATTAATTTAGCATAAATGCTGCTGCATATCTTCAGATTTATGACTTTAATTAATCTGTGGTGGTTGAATATACTATCACAGGATGTCCAAACTGCGGCCTTCAGAACAATTCTGGGTTTTAGTTTTATTCAGATTTCCACTTTTGTCTCATCAGTCCACAGCTAAATATTTTTAGCTTTTATTAGTTATTCTGTATCTTTACAGCTAGCTAAAATTAGCTATTTCTAAATTAGCTAATGTTATGTTTTAGCTAGTACAATTTAAAAAGTAAGGAGAACTTGAAACCATAGCTTTGCAACAATTTAAAAAGGAAGCCAGAAATATTAATTTGCTTTATTTTAACTGGATAAAATCCTTTTATTGTTGCTTAACTGCTGGTAGTTGCTAAGTGCTAGCATGCTGCTGATTATGAACCAACCACAAAGCCTTTTTCTACCAGATATGAGTTTAACTTACAAAACAAATCTGAGTGATTCCAGCTGATCTAATTAAAAATAAAACATTTTACATTTTCCTTCTCACTTTTATTCACTATTAAGTAATTATTACATTCATTTAGCATAAATGTTGCCTCATAAATTCTGATTTTAGTTCAGCTCAGGTAATATATGACTTTATACATTTTTGGTACATAAACATTTTTATGTACCAAAAGTTTTTGGTACATATTCAAAAATTTTACTTGAATATGTGCCAGACAAAATTTTTCTCCACAAGAAATTATGTAATATTTTTATGTTAATCCCATTAAATTCTCCTTATGTTTTTTGCAGCAGTGATTTGTTCTGAAACTTTCCCATTTTTGAAAAAAAAAATGTTTATGAATTACTTTTCTGCACACACCAAGGTTGTGAAATAAAATATCTAGGCTCTACAGTTAAATCACATGGTTAATCTTTTAAAAAATATAATAAATATTTTGAGGACAGTCAAAGTTTATCCATAATTAAAGCACAGTTTTTATTGTTTTGATTACTTTTTGAATCTTTGGTCTGCCAAACATCTAACATCTTGCAATCTGTAGTTTTTACATTTCTTTACGCTTTATTTTTCTTCCACAGAGCAGCATAGAGGACAAACATGACGACAAGTCGGTCACCACCACTTTTGGAGTCAACAGACCAACCATTTCCTGTTTCTTTGACCGTAGGGCAACACCCACACTTCTTTGTTTTTCTGCTTATCTTCTTTTTCTGGTTCCGATTCCTAATTGTCATGGAGTTTTTTGGAGCTGAAGCTGCTTTTTCTTGCAGGCGGGACCCGCTACCACCTGCGCTGCTACATGTATCAAGCCAGAGACATGCTGCCGATGGACAAAGACAGTTTCTCAGGTACAGCGAATCTCGACATGTGCTGGTATTCTGGCGCCCTCTGGTGGCCAACTGGTGAATCCAACATTTTTTGGATCGTTGTCAAAAATAGCAAAATTTATCTGGGTATTGGCAAATGATCAGTTGTAGTTTGCACACAATTTAGAAATTCTGAAATTATCAGAATTTTGTTTTTGTTTCTATTACATATTTATTTATTTAGCTGTAAATAAAAATTAGAGAAAAATCTTAGTTATGAATGTTTTTTTATTTGGTTACAAATGTTGACATTAAGATGACTTCAAAATAACAACATAACTCAATACTTCAGAACTGTTTCTTATTCACATATATAGATATTTATCTGTATTTACTGAAGCAAATCTCTTGTCTGGTGATACATTTTAATAAAGTATCATTTCTTTTTAGAAAATAAAATAAAACCATTTTTAGACAAAAAAGTATGAAAAGATACTTATACAGAGCTATTCAATACATCAGAATATTTATCTTAATCTCCAAGTGATTCACATTATATGGATTAATTATACACAAACTGCTGTTTTCCAGCCTTTGTTTCTGTTAAGACGATTCTCTGTTGATTAAAACATGACATTTAAAATGAGAACATTACTTCAGACCAATAAAAAAAAACATTTTATAATACAGAAATGTGGGTTTAATGCAGGAAAGAATTTTAATTTAATGTTCAAATTAGAATGCATATCATATTTGTTCAGGTTATCTTTAGTATTTCAGTGCAACAAAACAAACTCCCTGAGGGTTCAAATACTTTTTACGTCACATCTTTTACATCTGGAAAAACCGTTTCTGTGCAGAGAAATATCAGCGGATAATGTTTTAAAAAGAAGATTCAAGGCTAGCAGTTAGCTAACCATTGCTCTAAGCTAGCTAAAAATTGATCATTTTAGCTAGCTTGGAGGTACCTAAAATGAGCTAGCTCCTTCTTTTTCAGAAATGTTTATACAGATGTAACAGAGCAGAAATCTTTCAAATATTTGCAATTTTGTCTCATAAATCCACAGAATATTTTTGGACTATTTTTTACAGAATATGTTTACCTAGCTAGAATAGCTAGCTTCAGAGCTAGCTAAAATTAGCCAGCTCTAAGCTAGCTAATGTTATGCCTTAGCTGGTAAAAATGAGGAAAACCAGAAAAAATTAAGTTGTAACAATTAAAAAAAACAAGCCAAATATATAATTTAGCTTCATTTTTATTGGATAAAATCCTTTTATTTTTGTTTAGCTGTCTGTATTTGCAAAGCGCTAGCATTTTGCTAATTATGAGCACAAAGCCTTTTCTACCAGATGTGAGTTTTTAACTTACAAAAAAAAATACCTGAGTAATTCCAGCTGACCTATTTAATAATTAAAAATAAAAAAAATCTAACAGATTAAATGTAGTAAAATGTCAAAATGAGACGGGAGCCAAAAAACCTGGGAAACAAGCAGCTTTAAAAGTGTTGATTTAATTATGAAACCGCTCTGATTGTAATTAGAAGGAGGAGAAGAAATATTTTTCTTTGATTTAAAACGAGGTCATGGAAACTGCAGCTACTGTGTGCGTTAATCAGAAAGCCAGCAGAGACTCACATGCTAAAACTTTTATAAACAAAAGAGAGAGAGATGATTGATGGGAGGCTGCTTGAAAAACGGGGCCAACAAACAGGATTCTGTCAGCAAACTGATGATGAATCGCTATCTTTACTCAGTCGGCTCATTCACACTCATGAACAGTTAATGGGTGAGTAAAACTGATGGATGAGCTTCACTTGTGTTTTCATCTGGTGCGACATGACATTTTGATTGAAGATGATTAAAGACTCGGTCTGCTATCAAACACTAAGGCTTTTCTGGTTTTCCTTTCGATTTCATGTGGTCGCCTTTCATCTTTTGTTTTCCTGTCTTTTTTCTCTTCCACTCCGTTTTCACCCATCATTTCCTGACCTTTTTTCCTCTTAAATCTTTTTGTCTTTGCTTGCTTTGAGGCAAGAAGAATCATGGGAGTGAATATAATCCTGCTCCATAATTACTAAGCTGATGCGAAACATTAAAAGTTCAAATTATACGGAAGGATCTCTAAAAGTCATCACATTCCTGTAATAAAAATAGAAACTTGATGATATGAGAGCAATAATTAACTTAAATGAAGACTAAATGTTTTGTAACTCATTAATTCAAGGAGTTATTGTAGATTGTCACGGCTGCTGGGAGGAAAGATCTCCTGTAGCAGTCTGTACCGCACTGAATTCGAAGAGGCCTCTGACTGAAGACACTTTGTTTCTCTAAGGCAGCTTCATCTACAATATGGCTTCGTTCACACCGCTGGTCTTGATGCTCAGTTCTAATTTTTTTTTTGTTGAAATATGATCTTGTGTGTTTATTCTACAAATTAAAAAGCGACCGCAAAAGAAGAACGTAGAGTTGTTTACAGAAGTAATAAAGGACGCCACCATCTTTTTGACTTTAACGTTGTTGAGCGATGGGAGCCGATTAAAAAAAGCGAAGGAAGCTAAATAAAAAAGTAGAGCTATTAGCTTATTTGCGTCAGTTATTGTTTACCTCCAGGTTTCCCACATCTGGCTTCTTCTGGCGCAGAATTACGACGCAAATTTTACATCTAGACTCTAACATCAGAACAGTTAAAGACAGACTTACAGTAAACCAGCTCCCACCAGTTTCACCACCTCTTCAACAAATCTGTTCCCGACAGACATTCATTAAAAAAAAACATTAATTATGTAAAAGTCGGATAAGAAGCAACATAATCACTTCTTCCGCAGACGATTTGAAAAAGATGGGATTCGTATCTGATTAGGTCCACATAATGGAATTAGCACAGATCTGATCAGATGATTTTTATTTTTATTTTTTTAGGCGAAAACATCAGAATTGAGCCGTTAAAAAAATTCAGATGTGTCGCATTTAGCCTAGGATGTGGTACAAAACAGTGTCATAATGCAATATGATACATTACATGATATAATAACATACAATGCAATTTGATTCTATATTTGATTATATATAGAGTAAGATTATACAGTAAAGTATAAAACCTTCTGATGCGTTACTGTACATTAAAGTGCAATATGACACAATGCAACGTAATACTACACGATACGATGCAGTTTTGGGATGTCCAAAGTGCGGTTCGGGGGCCATTTGTGGCCCTAGGAATGATTGTTGGTCACAATTCAAGATTAATTTGGTTTGCAAGTTCAGGCAGATTAATGCAGATAAACTTAAAAACCATGTGTGGATTTAACTTTTAAGATGCAACACAAAGCATTCATGCAGGATTTTACTTTTGATTTAATTTAATTTATTAGTAATGGAGACCAAATGCAAACTCTGAAAATAATAAAGGCAGAGTGAGCAAAATCCTTGTTATTGTTGCTGAAAAGAAGCACTTTCAACTTGACATTTTTTAGTTTGGACACCAAATCAGCTCTATTTTTGTGTGTGTGTGTGTGTGTGTGTGTGTGTGTGTGTGTGTGTGTGTGTGTGTGTGTGTGTGTGTGTGTG